CAGCGGAGGGCTACCAAGATGATTAGAGGGCTGGAGCACCTCTCCTCTGAAGAAAGACTGCAAGAGCTGGGCCTGTTCAGCCTGGGGAAGAGAAGACTGAGAGGCGATCTCATCAGTGTGTATAAGTATGTGAAGGGGGAGTGTCAAGAGGATGGGGCCAATCTCTTCTCCGTGGTGCCCAGCAACAGGACAAGAGGCAACGGGCACAAACTGAACCACAGGAAGTTCCATGTGAACCTGAGAAAAAAATTCTTGACTGTGAGGGTGACAGAGCATTGGAACAGGTTGCCCAGAGGGGTAGTGGAGTCTCCTTCCCTGGAGATATTCAAAACCTGCCTGGATGTGATCCTGGGAAATACGCTCTAGAGGTCCCTGCTGGAGCAGGGAGGTTGGACTAGATGATCTCCAGAGGTCCCTTCCAACCTCAACCATTCTGTGATTCTGTAAGGGGAATCTGTGATCCTGCCTTCCACATCCAAGGAAAACAAAGTGGCATATGGGAAAGGGAAAAGGGATGCAAAGCCCAGAGCATACCCTTGATGCGCAGAAGGCCATGAGCATTCCTTATTCACTCTCCTGGGTGCCCTCCCAGGTATACCCTGAGAGGTGTTAGACCTCTGCAGCATATTTTCTGATCTGTGCTGTTTTTCCAGCTTGACACAGCAGTCAGCCATGCAAAGCATGCTACTGACCCGAGCAGGATCAAACTGAGTACTGCCAGACCTTGCCATCGCTCAGTTTTTGCCCCACCACCCTGCCTCACCCTACACTTGCCTGATGTCTGTCCCTCATATTGAGACTGCAGACAGCAGCATGATCTGCAAAAGCAGACACTGGGAAGTACCTCACCCTGTCTGGGCCTGGCTCCTTTCTCAGCAGCGTCCCTGTGTGCTGGCTCCATGCTCAGAGGTTTCTACAGCCACAGATTTTGCTTACCTGATTTATCACGGGACATCAACCCTCCTCATTCCTCTGCTTGGTAGGACCTTGAGTGCATCCCCCTGCTCCATGCTGTCCATGCTGCTTTCCGACATTGCTTTCTGACAGGTAGCCTCAGACCATGAGCCTCAGGGTCCTTTAGCGTCTCCCTCCAGCATCTCTAAGGACACCCTGACTTGCAACGTGGAGAGTAACATCTGAGCCAGCTGAGGAGGCCATGGTGGCTTGAGATCAGCTCCGAGGCCCCCTTAGCAGGATCAGCCACCTCCGGCGCATGCCAGAGCCCCACATTGCTGCACTGAGGCTTGTCTGAGTCAAGGCAAGGACCTCAAGTCCCTGGGGTGCTCATGCTGGCATTGGCATTTGGCTTTTATGCATCCCTGTTTGCTTATTAAACTCAGATACATGTTGCACTGGAGAAATCCATGCCACACCACAGTATAGATGATATGGCTCTCAGAGGAGCAGACATCCAGAGCTTTATAGTTAGCACAAATCACCATCACTTCTCATTTCCACCCACACTAATCCTCAATTAAATAAAGAAGCACTAGCACTTCCCCAGGCAGCCAACTGCTTTATGCATATATTGGAGAGCTGGTATTTGCTGTGACTAGTGTTGTTTGTAGGCAATCCTCCCACACCTACCAAATCTGTGAGCCAGCAAGAGCAGGACTTGCAGAAGGCCACAACTCAGTTTTGGCAAGGAACAATACTTTCTCTCATTCTATCTCCTTCTTAGTGTCTGTTTTAATCCAGCAGTTGATTGACAAGAATAAATTGCAAACCGAAGTGATGATAAAATATTAACCGCAATATAATTTATTCTTGTGTCTTTTAGTCAATATTTTACATCATTCCTATTTGTGCTATTTTTAATGGATTCTTCTAGCTGAGATTGCTACTTAAACAAGTTATGACACCCCAAAACATGGTATTCAGCCATGCTGACAACACCTATCTTATCAATGTGCAAATACACATGTGCACACCCAAGAAATCAGCTCTGAGCAATTAACAGAGGTTTGCCAGAGCTCCTGTTGCTGGTCAGCGCTTCCGGGTTGTCTCTGTGGAAACCTGAAAAGACAGACACCCTACCACTGCAGCAGTTCTCAACATGGATGCAAATCTTTTTTGATCCTCTTAGTGGTTTGCCTTGGGGAAATGCCCAAAAAGCATAGACTGAAATGACATTGATAAAACCTGAGAGATGCAGATGTTTTTTTTTTTATTTTACCTTTATATATACTTAAATCCTCACTCCTCAAAAAACAGAAATGCAAAACACTTAACGTGAAAGTTTATTTGCTAAAGTGACAGGGACTTTTTTGCATTTCACAACTCAAATCAGGAGCTGACTAAAAACTTTAGCGAGTCACTGCCACGCAACATTGTGCCAGAGTGATCCCACTGCTCACAAATGGATCTTGAGAAACTGTTTGTCACCGATGTGTGGTTCTCACTCAAAAGTTTTCACTCTCACATTAGTAGCATGCTCCTTCTCCAGAGCACATGGATGAGGTGCTCATTTCCTCCCAGGGCAATTCATTAGCCATCATGCGCTTTGGGCACCTCTTATACAGGCAGCCAGAGACTGGCTGATTACAGCACTGTGGGACAGTTTGCACTTCTGAGAGCCAGATTTTGCATGCTACTGGGATAAATAAATAAAAGGAACTGACTGATGTGGGGAAACAGGGCTAGGGAGCAACTGTCATAACCCCTTTGCCTGAGAAGGATTTGGCACCGCATCCATTCAGCTCTGGCCAACATCATCCAAACGTTTCCGCAGAAGACACATCCCTCAAGGATCCCCCAGAACACGGGGGGTGTTTCTAGCATGCCCCCAGGCTCTATCACAAGACTTGGCCCCAAAATCCTTAGCCCCGTGAAACATCCTTGTAAGTAGGAATAGTAATCCTCCCAGCACCCCAGGCCATCCCCTGGCCCTTGAGCCCAGCAAGTCTCCTTCTCACTCACCTTGTGGGAGTTTAACATCTATAATTCCCCTTGTTTTCCTTTAGCCCTTCCTTCCTATGATCCTCTCTCTCCCTCCAAATTTCTCTCATATTCACAGTGTCTTAAAAAAAAACAACCCTCCTGGGATTATTGTCACTGGCTGCTTCCTCTCCAGACCCACAAGGGAGCTGAGTGGTAAGTCCTTGTCCCGCCCAAAGCAGCAGAACACACCCTAGAGGAAGCTGAAAATCAGCAAGGAGACATTTCTTGGCTGCTCCATCTTTCAGCTGAGGTCTCAGCCGCTCTGATGGCCAGCAAAGATTTACCATTCCTGAGTGCCACCAGCCCTTCCTCCTTCTCCATACCCATCAATAAGGGCTGGACACCCCGCATCGACTTTTCACCATTTTAAGCAGCTTTTGCTTGAGCGTGAGGAAAATGATAGCAAAGGCGACCAGGAGAGTCAAGCAAGTTGGCAGAGCAAGCACCAGGTATAGGAGAGCCAGGTCAGCTGTCCTCCACCGGCAGCCCTGGAGGATGGGCTCCGGCAAGGCCCTGGCACTCACTGTCCTGGAGGCATAGCTGCAGGTTACCTCCTGCCCATCGCGGATGCGCACCCTCTCAACTTGCTGCAGGGAATCCCACCATCCCAGCATGCAGCAGTTGTAGGGATTTCGACTGAGGTAGACCTCATGTAAACTCTTCCCCAGGGGTGTCCATATCACATCCTGTGGAAGAGCTGGGAGACAGTTATCCCTGAGGTCAAGTGTATGCAATTTGAGGATGCTCAAAGATGCAGGGAAGATGGTCAGGGAGTTTCTCGACAGGTCCAAGCACAGCAGGCTCTGAAAACCAGAGAAGTCAATGTCCACCACAGTGGAAGAGAGGCTGGTGTTTCTCAGAGACAAAACCTGCAAGGTTAAAGCAAGATCTTGCAGCCATCCCAGGCCCGCAGACAGTGCCTTCTGGTTGTCAGAGAGGTCCAAATGTGTTAGCGGTGTGCCCTGGAAGGGGTGGCTGCCCAGCTCTTGCAGGCCACAGTTGGCCAAGGAGAGACGAGTTAAGGTTGTGATACCTCTGATGTCTACACAGGGGGGATTCTCCACCTTGCCTGCGACAACTTGCTGGGGACACAGGTCTACCCGGTTGTGACTAAGGTCAATTGTAGTGATCTTCCTGGTGTAGGTGAAAAATCTAGCAGGAAGCACCTGCAGCCTGTTGGTGCTCAAGTTGAATAGCTGCAGGCTGGGCAGCATGTCTCTGGCAGGCAGGTCCACCCGCAGCTCCGAGAGCTGATTCTGGCTTAGGTCCAGGTCTGTCAGCATTGCTAAGGGATCCCCCTCTGACAGGTGAAATGTCTCCAAACAGTTCTGGTTCAGCTTCAGGTGGGTCAGGGAAGGCATTTTTGCCAGGAACTCCTCCGGCAGGTACCAGAACTGGTTCTGGCTCATGTCCAGGAGGTGTAAGGAGGAGAGATTGCTATGGCAGATCTCATCCCAGAGGCTGACTGTAGTGACGTTGGTGGAATTGCCATCAATGAGCAGGAACTGCACAGTGACATCTGCCAGGGATGTGGCATTGGGGAGATGCTGGTAAAAGCTCATCTCATTGTCCTTCAGCAGCAAGGAGTGCAGCTTGCTTTGCCGAGGCAGCACAGGGAAGAACAGGAGCTGGTTGTGGGACAGGTCCAGCACCTCTAGCTCAAAGAGGGCATCACTTTCAAGAGCCAGAAACCACTCAATGACATTGTTGCTGACATTGAGCACTCTGATCTGGGTCAGGTCAAACTCGGCTATGCATGGGATGTAGTTATAAGCCATGTTGAGCCTCTGCAGACTCTGCAGCCCTTCAAAAGCTTGGTCAATCTCAAAGATGTAATTCTTCTCCAGGTTCAGCTCCAGCAGCTGAGTCAAGTTTGTGAAGACGGATGAGTCCAGCCTCATGATGATGTTCCTGGCCACAGACAAGGACTCCAAGGAGGACAGGTTCCAGAGCAAAACCGATACCATGTCCTCAGTGAGGTGGTTTCCAGCTAGATCCAGTTTCCTCAGAGTTGGTAAAGCAGAAAGAGCAGCTGCTGTCACCGAGTAGTTTGTGAAGAGGAGGTTGTCTGCCAAGGAGAGCACGCGGAGGACTTGACTGCCCAGGAATGCACCAGGTTCGATGAGCTCCAGACGATTCTTTGACAAGCTGAGATGCCTCAACTTTTGGTATGCAAGCACAGAGGCATTCCCTAGGACCTGTATAGTGTTGTCATCAAGCAGCAACTCCTCTATATCATCTTGCAGATTTCTTGGGACTGAATTCAACCATCTTCCATTGCAGGTGGCAGTGCTCTGCACCTGAAGGAAGTGAATATGAAACATCTCACAGGAAGGGCAACTCGAAGGACCAGCGAATCAGTCTATGCAAATAGGGGTATGCACAGAGCATCAGAAGACTCACAGCCACTGCCCGATCTGTGCCTGCATTAGCGGAGCTCCCACATCTCTCCATTTCACTCTCACTTTGCAGCCAGGAGCCTGCACAATGCCATGAAGGCAGACGATGGCACATGTGAGTAGAAGCACCAGGGGCACACTTAAACAGCAGCAGGAAGAGGAGGGACAGCCCTGAGGCATAAGAAGGGGAGATGGGATGAAGGAGTTCAAGGAACAAAGTGTGAATGGAGAAGGTGGCTCCAGAATTAAAGCCTCAGCACCCCAGTTCAACCCTTAGCTCTGATGCTAACCCGATAACTGGGTTAGGGATGCTGAGATGACCGGGATTTTTAGGGTAGGAGCAAGACATCAGAAGAGTGAGGGTTTGCAAGAGGCAACTCACTAGTCTGCAGCCCCCAGGAGATGTTGCCCAGGCTGCGCCAGCCCAATTCCCCCATCCTGCTGCTAGAAGGACAAGAACCAGGGAGAGACCTGGGAATGGTGCCTCCATCTCAACAACAGCACTCCTGTGAAGACAGAAATAGAGAAGAGATGGTCAAAAGCTGCTGCCTGCTCAGCCTGAAAGGCCCAGGCTTCTCCCAGGAAACCTGTCACAATACCTGTCCTCCCTTGAAGTGCCTTCGGATATGCCCTTACACCTCTTCCCCAGCAGTTGCCCTGTTGCTGTGCTGGCTGCTCGCTCTTAGAGATCCGGGCCAGCTCAAGGCTCAGGGCTTCCCTCTTACCTCAGCTATTGCCTGTTCTGCCTGAAGCCAGGCTGACAGCTTGCATCATTCTGCAGTGGGCACTGAGAGACAAAGGGCAGCACAGGCTCCCAGGTGACAAACATCTTGTAGCAGTGGCCACCATGCTCTATGAGAGACCTGGGCCACTGCAAGCTTCCCAGCTTGTGCTCTGCAGCATGGGGCATAGCATAGGCATGGAGAAATGAGGAACATCCCCCTGCACCAACCCCCAGGCAGATAGCACTCCCCACACCAGCGAAGGGGCACCAGTGAAGGGGTCATAGAAGAGACTCTCATCCTCCCTCGTGGAGATCAGCCCCAGAGCTGAGGAGGCCCTTCAGGGTTGCTACCTCCTGGCTGGCCACCTGAGGGCTGGACAGGGCAAGGGACAGGGAGACAGCAGCCTGGTCCCTGGCAGCAGGGCAAGGGACAGGGAGACAGCAGCCTGGTCCCTGGCAGCAGGGACTGAAGCAGGAACAATCAGCAGTGCTGGGCCACAGGGCTGAGAGCCTGGGGAGCAGCACACACATGGGCAAGGCACAGCAGATGTGCAGCTGCTTGAAAACACCACTGAACTGCAACACTTTAGAAAGAGGCTTCCTCCTCTTCCTGAGCTTGCAACCCCCCCCACCCCCGCCCCGGCCAGTGCAAAAGGCTCCCTTTAGGTGACACCAACCCAATCATAGCTGAGTTTGGCTGCAGGGAACTGGTCCCCTCTAGCACCCATCCCTTCCTGAGGCACCTTAGTGCAGCCTGGTGGAAGTCACTGCCTTTCAATACAAGGTCCAAAGTTACTAATTCTGTGAAACCAGGGGTGATGACATTTGCATCTGGGCAAAAGCTGAACTTCAGGCAAATGAGCAGCTAGGTCTTGACAAGGGCTCAGCAAACAGTTTCATAACTGCCAACATTTGAAGATGAAACTGGAGGTTATTTTTGGCAGCCTGAGTAGCTGGAGCTAGACTCTAGCACCCCAGATGGAGTGGAGGATGCATTCTGGGTTTTCTTCTCCCTTGGAATAGCCAAACTGACATTGTACTGAATTCCAAAAATCTGAAGCCTTATAAAATCAGTGTTCATTAATCCTATAGAGATGAAAAGAAATTCCTCCCTCTCTAGGATAGCACTGATGTAAAGTAGTTTATGCCCTTCCAAGTCACTGACCTCCATCAGTCCCTTGTGCCAGGACATAGCTAGCAGCAGGCTCAGGCAGATGGACCCTGCTGTGTCCTTGTTGCGATGCTGTGCCCACCAAACTAGGGGCTTTGGTTCTAGCTTGTCTTTGGAACCTGAATTCCTCTCCTTTGCAGAAGGTCTTGCTTTCTCTCACTAAGTTCAGCCCTTCTCCCACCCACTGTCTCTTTACTGCCCGGCTGTCTTCTCCCCCAACATCACAAGCTCCCTCCCATCTCCATTCTCCTGCAGCCCTCCCTGGTGTGGCTCTGCCAGGCTGGGGCCAGAGGATAGCATCTGTGTTAGCTCCCCCCTATTGAGGGGCTACCCCAGCCAGGAAAGCGGGCAGCAGAATAAGCAGGAAATCCTTGCCCTGACAGCCCTGTGGCAGCCCTGGTGCCTGCTCAGTTCTGGATGAACTTACAGCCCACAGGCGAGTGGTTTCTGAGCACCAGAGGTACTCCCCACTGCACATGCCAGGCCACAGGACCAGCCCACACAACTGCAGTTGTACAACAGCCAACTCTGTAGTTGGCCAGGACGCTTTTACAAGTGTGGGCATCAATGATGCACAGCCGCCAGGTTTAGGGGTGCTTCAACCTGGCAAAAGAGGTCCCCAAACTCCTACCTGGATTCTAGCTCCAGTTCAGCAAAAGCCTGGGCTGCAAGTATTGGGGGGCAAATACTCACCGCTTGGGGCAGTGCACAGGGTTCGCAGCAACTCATCTTGCAGCTAGTGGCCCACTCCAGCTAGGGCTCAGCGACTTCTTCGGGCTAAGGTTAGCTGCAGCCCGCTGGTTTTCTCTTTCGCCCGTTTTCTTGCTTAGCACTAATATAGCTTTTGCGGAAGGAGCTAACGGAAACTGCAGTCACATGGACCCAGAGAGCGCAGCGAGTCACTTTGCTTACTGAGCTCAGCACTTACACCCAGGGTCATGCACTCACAAACAGCTCACGAGCAAGGAGGAACCAAGGCAGGGAGTGGGGGCTGAGGTGGGAGAGGCAGGGGAGCAGGAGGGAGGAACTGGTCCCAGTCAGGGTGACACAAATTTTTGCTCTCCATCTCCTCCTGGGGACAGGCTGAGGCTGGGGACAATCTTTGCACCATGGCTTCTCTGCACAGCTCAGGCAGAAGATCTCCACAGGGTTTCAGACAGCCAAGCCACGCGGAGCTACATACCAAGCATCTTGATTTGAGCCCACAGCAGTGTGCAAGCACCACTGCACAGAAAGTGTCTAAACGACACTTCCAAAGCCATGTGCAACATCCTCACACTGTCCAATGTTTTAAGGCTGCCTACACAACCCCAATACCACTCCCTTGCATAGCCAGATTGCCGTATCCTGCAATGACAGAGCAACCTGGCTTTTTTGTCCACAGGTCCCTGCCTCAGAGCATGCCCGGGCTGGAGAAAATTGACTGGCTGAGCAGCAGCAATTCCATGCTTTTTCTTCCTGCTGTTACACTTGCAACTATTCCTGGCATGTCCCTCAAGTCCCACGATTCTCTCCAGAGCACAGCACAAAGGCTTTGACAGAACTTACAGATATGTTTCCCACAGGAAAGGACAAGGTGCTGTTATTTTCCTTCTGCATCCCAAGCCAAAGTTGAACATGCCCCCAGATGTTGGGTGCCTGCTTTGGGACACCAGCACCCAGCCTGCTGCACTATCGAGGTGAGTTTCTGGTTGTGCAGACCTCAGCTCACACAGAGTTCTTTGGCTCCTGGGGCTGCTCAGGACTTTGGCAAACCCAGCACCCAGGGGGCAAGTCAGATCCATCTGGAAACAAGGAATTCCCAGATTTCAATATGTACATGAATAAATGACTTTTCTCTACGTCCTCAGGACAGAGACAGATGCAAATCCACGTTCCCAAGGCCAGATTGCCAGAGAGGCATCTTTCCTGCCTTACCCAGCCTTTATCTTCTGCACAGTGCTGGTGACACCAGTACGAGCTACCTGACAAGGCAGAGCCCAGCTCTCCCAGGTATGCGCATCCCACAGGGCCCTGGGAGACCCCACCACATGGTCCCGTAGGAAGGTCTGTATCATTGCAAGCTCACGGTGACAGCACCCTGCTGTGCACTTTATCATTGCTGACAGCAGGGGACTGACAAGTCTCCGGGGACTCGCACTCCATCCCAGGCCTGTAATAGGCCATGTGCCATGGGAGGGGGACTGTCCTGCCCTCTGCTCCCTGAGCTAAGCCCTCTCCCCAGCTTGTGTCATGCCCCCGCAGGCGTTAGTGGTGTTTGGCCAGACCTTAAGGAAAGGTAGTGGGGAGCCCCTCTCTGGGCTTCTTTCTCACTGCGGTCTGTACCCCACATCACCCCTCCTCTAAGGTCCTCGAATACCACTGACTACCCGTCAAATCCAGCTCTCTCCCCTCCCAGGCTCCAATGGGGAAGCCAGCTCAGCTGGATTTGTCCAGTCAGGGAAGGGTTCAAAACAGTGTAGAAAGGACTCAGCGCCCGCCCCCACCCCAGGTGAGTCCCTCAGCTAAAGCAGAAAAGTCTCATTGTGGTGCAAGATACGTGTGTCAGGTGCCACCCCATTGAAAAGACCCAGTAGCCCCCAAGACTGGTGGCTTACTGTAGCCAATTCTGCAGCAAGAAGGTAGCCAGACCTGCAGCTTCCTCTCTTTTAGAAGGAAATGGAAGACTACCTGCACCAAAAAGACAGCAGATCCCCCCTATTGCAGCAGCTTGGGAAGTATCTAGTGAGAGCAGTGCATCCCGTCAGGCAATGTCCAGTCTTCTGCTCCCCAGATCTTTGCCCCAAAAGGACCTTCTGCAACAGTTTGCAATAGTTGGGAGATGAATCCTTTTCATTCTAGCATGCCAGACTGGAGAAGCCCACTTCCAAGAGACATCGTGGCCTGGGTCACCTCACCCTGCAAAAATAACATCTCAAATGGTCTTCAAACTCCTGCAGGTAGCACATACAGCTAGAGAAATTGTTTTTTGGCTTCACCCTAAACTTCATTTCTTCTCTATAAGGAGACTAAGCTCTCCCATGTCACTCACAAAAAAGCCCTGTGGTTTCATTTCCTTGATTTTCAAGGAAGTTTGAAGAATAACAACCAAGAAGGAAAAGAGAGAAGCATTCATTGTCCAAGTGAACTGTAGCAGATGACAGAAGCTCTGAAACTAAGCAAAATTCCCATGATGTTGCTCTAGATCACAGGGAGGGCCACACCCTACAATTATAATCCTTCTCCTTCTCCCAGAACACCTGAAACGAGCTGATCCCACACCAAGACCCCTCATATGTTATGACACATTCAGAGAGGCAGGAGCAGTCAGAGATTCAGCAGAAGGCAAGGAAGTCCAGCCTCACCTGAGAAAATACCCGATTCTTTGGTGATCTAGAAGGTCCTGTGAAATATTCTGAAGAAATCCCTGCTTAGCTCTTCATGCATTGACACTAAACAAGGAGATCCCCAACGAGGCAAACCAGCCTCCCCTTTGCCAGCTCTCCCTGGCCCAGGAAGAGCTGGGAGAGAAAGCAGAGTGTGCTTCATCCCCAGCCCCTGCAGGGAAGAAAAGGGTATAAAGGGCCACTGGGGAGGAGCCAAGCTGAAAGGGAAGATAGCTGTGAAATCAGAACCTGTTATGTCAGTGACCAGACAGCCTTCCAAGTAGAGCATCATCCCCTTAGAAGATACCCTGCAAGTTTGGTGCTTGTCCCTAATGCCCGACAAGGACAGCTCACTGAGTGACCAATCCCAAGGAAAAAGAAGTCAGAAAGGAGAAGGACAGAAAGCATTCAAGAATTAAAGAAAAAGAATCATCTTGAGATTTTCCAAAAATATCATTGCCAGTAAGCAGCGTTCAAACCAGATACACATACCCCCAATTCAATCTATGCACAAGGACAACATTACTCCTCTCTTGCTCCTCCCTTCAGACCTCTTCCACCCTTTCTCCTCTTCCACCAAGCAGTCACTTCGGCTGACAGAAGCCAAGGCCATGTAAACCCTCCTTTCACAAGAAGCAGAGGTGCTCACAGACGGAGCACCTCGGGGACAAGAGAGTCCTCCTTCCTGCTCATCCACCCTCCACCTGCATTTCTCCCACGCTGCTCTGTCCAGAAGGCAAGCGCACATCAGGCCTGCTCCCCACAGCCCACAGAGCAGCCACGCAGCTCTATGCTCACCCACAGCCTATAGTTAGGCACCTGGCAGCATAATTTATTGCACAGTTTCCCCATATCCTGTAGCCAATTGTTTTGAAAGTGTCCTGAAGCTGCTGCTTACCCTCCTCCTCTTCCTTTCCCCCAGTTCCTCTTGACCACTGTTATCCCTCTCCTGCCAGCTCTCCCATTGAGAACTGGGAGGATTTTTTGTTTGTTTTTTCTTTCATCAGCATGGTAAAGGTATAGGACTGAGCTGCCAGGAGCTGCTGATCTGATCAGCTCTTCATCAAGCTTCAATCCAGGTCAATGGCACAGGTAGATTAAATTCAAGGAGATTCTGCTGCTTGGAGCAATTTCCACATGGGCAGTTGCAATTCCTGATACTGCAGGAAAGGACTGGGATTATCAGTAAGGTTTTGCACTTGGAGAACTTCCTCCATTTCTCCTTTCTTTTTTCCTTTATCTTTTTCCCTTAACCCTCCAGTTGTCAAGTACAAACCAAGAGAAGAGCTGAAACAAGAAGGAAGCCTGGAGAAGCACAGCATTGCAGAGTTTCCAAGAGCTCACTAAGCTGTGGAAACAACCAGAGAAAAAGAGTCATGCTCAGGTAGGATGGATGGTGAGGGGGAAGGGAGGCTCTGAAGAAGATTTGAAATTTCATGAAGAACGGAGATAGTTATACATCCTATGGCTAGCTGCGCTCAGGAGGGTGATCCTGCTGCCAGCTGCTTCTTGCCTTCCCTGGCCAGAGGTTTCTGGACTGCTCCTAGCCCTGCTTTGGGCAAAAAGAGCTGCATGAGCTTAAACAGCATAACAAACCACCACGGGTAGCCTGGCACATCTGAAGCCAGGTGAGTAAGGAGGGAACATACAGCAGCTCTGAGAAGAGATGCAGAGGTGGCAAGGCAAAACGAAGACACAGGAGGCATTAGGGAAGGAGGGGAGACAGTAAGTCCTTGTTTGCTTCTGACATGCTCTTTTTCTCCTGTTCAGGTGGTACCAACCTACTGATGTGCAGGCACCAGGACCCAGAACAACAGCCTGTGGCAGAGATTGACCCTCCCGGTTGGTTGCCACAATGCAGCGTGGTGCCCAACAAAAGACACTGTGGGAATGGAGAAACAGCAACAGAAAACGGAAAGCAATTCACTGCTGCTGAGGAGACTTCAGCACGCTCTTCTTGTCCTGTAGGAAATATGATTTCTTCTAAAGTGGAACCACCAAGAGAAGAGGTCACTCACAGTTCAGACAGCTGTCCAGAGTGCAAGGGCCACAGCCTCAGCTTAGTCAGGACAAAATGAAACAGAAATGTTTCTTGGTAGGCTTCATCCGCTCCCACAGCAATGGAGAACTGGAGGTAATTAAACAAGTAGTCCAACAAGGGAGGACGGAGCTGTCCGGATTGTGCAAAGCATTACAGGCAAGCCTCTGGCTGGTAGTTGGCCTCTGGCGTTTTGTCCATCAGGACAGGAGCATGCCCTGCAAAGGGAAAAGGATATAGGTGCAGAAAACCAGCTACTCTGAAACTGGAGCCTGGGAAACACCTACAAAAGCTTTATGATTTCCAGGCTTAAGGGAAACTGCAAAACAGAGTTACAGAAAATATTAGGCAGGCTTAAGAGCAGCCATTCTATCTGCCCCTGCTGTTTCATTTGGTCTGTGCACAACTGAGGTATCCAGTTGAGATTTGCTCGGCCAAAACTACTTCCACTACTTCCTTTCTAAAATACACCTTCTATTTGAAGCCATATGGTTGCACAGGCACCTTCAGAAGGCGACCCAGACACTACAGCTAGCACCCGAAACCAGCACGCTGAAGAGCTTCTCTGCGAGACATTCACGCTGCAACCTCGTAGCAAGCGTTTCAGGGCTCTCTTGCTAACACCCCGCTTGTTGAACCTTGTCAGAAAGGTCAGAGCAGCCACATTGTGAAGAGTAGTATCTCTCCTGGCAATCTCCTTTCTTTTCTAGGCACCGCAAAGGTGCA